AAAGTTGGCCTCACTGTATTACGCTTTACAATGACGATGATGACGATGGGTGGGGGTCTAGGGTTGCGGCTGGTCCTCCTTCCGTCGCACTTCGCGAAATGTTCCCATACGACCAAGCGTCTCGAATAGCGTGATGTTTTTGAGTAGGCGGCTTTGAGGACGTTTACGTATTTCTGAGGGATACCACTAACAGACAAGTCTAATGGCTGCTCTGCCAGCTAAGTCAGACGCTACACGTATATCCAAATCGCAACAATTTTTAGTTCACTGAACGCTTGATGTTGTTAGAGAAGCTGATGGTGCGTAAATGTGGTGAATGTCGGTTCGACCGGAGTGGAATTCAGCTTTTCCGTTCCTGATATGATGCTCTTATCCAGATGAGGATGCATTGGGTCTGTTGTAGATTCGCCACCATCCGTCTGTTGCCGGGTATGTTCTTAAGTTTGGTTTGTCTGGTTTAAGCTTGTACCTCGTTTTTTGATCGATTACAGCCTATCGACCAGGCGTTGTCTTCTGCAATCTATCTCTACTATCTCGCACCCATCGTACAATCAACCATGTTCCAATTTAATTTAATTTTTAAAGATGTGGACGACAATCCATCCTCTCCACGGGGAAAATACCTACTCAGTGTGCCAAACTTTAGAGTACAAAGTCAAAAAATTTCTAACATGCTTTATTCCACCATCTTTGAATACAGCTGTCGAAAGGCCATTGGAACCCGGCGCTTTGCGACGTCCCGATGCTTGGAGCTCCTTACGGATTTCCGCCTCAGAAGGTGAGTCTTTTGAGACAGACCATTGGACGTGTGCCAGAATAGCTGAATGATAAGCTGACACTGGTGGCCAGTTCATCGGTGCTTTGGAGTGTTCCGCCCAGCGTTCAAGACGTCGCTGTTGATTGTGGATGAGCGTTTTGCCAGCTTTATTCATCGTTCCGCCCACATCCAAGGCTTTCCTAACGGTGACCCGAATGACATGGAACAGCTTACGGGAATTTCTCATGGTGGCAGCACGTTCCATCTCTGACGCGTGTTGTTTCCACCAGATTTCGCGGTTTCTGTGTAGACTGGCGTTGAGTTCACGTCTCATCACCTGTCTTTTCATTATGCTCGCTGCCGGTCGGGATTGATCGGCATGCGTCAAGAGAGACTCAGCGGAGATTCAAGGTTTCAACGCTCGACGTGTCAGATCGCAACTATCTAAGCCAAAGGAAAGATCACTGTTGATAGGCAACCTGTGCTGATTGATGTTAACTGGTGGTGTTGGTTGTTTAGTAATCGACTGCGCTGTGCGTCTTGATGATTCAACACGAGTCATCAGCTACAGAATGAAATATCGATGCTTATTCGTCGTATCTTCACTTCATTGCGGCTGTCTCCTCGGAAAGGATGATCCGGCTCCATGAATGTCTCTGTCGCCGTAGAAGATGTTCCCAGCGTCACGGCGTTTTTTATTTGAGGGAACACCTCTAGCCTTTGCACAATCAGGTGCGAACCGCCAGGCAGCAGGAAGTAATCCCTCGTCGTATCCGTGTATGTACAACCGAATGCAGTTCGCCAAAAATAATAAAGTTCTTCAAGGATCTTTCTCAGCTGTTCCGAAGTGCTCAGTTAGCGGACACTGGTGGTCGCTGGAGACTTCAATGCTCCAATGGGATCTCTGAACTAATCAGAAAGGTTTCTCGATAGTTTCCATGCGATCTCAGCTAACCGGACGGACAACGAAGAACGCCTACTTCAACTCTGCTGATCACGGACTGCTCTTGTCAAGCACGAACTTCTCGCACAAGAAACGGCACTGCCTTACATGGAAACCGCAAACCTCTTCACAGCGCTGAATCACATCGCCACCAGTAACCTCTAGCGAGCATCCAATGCAGACTGCCGCTGGTACCGGTCAACACTTGTGGACACGGACCATACAGTGCTACAAGCGAACTTCTCCCTACACCTAGTAAACAACCGCCGAAAAGCCACCGACAACGGATGACCACATTAGTGTCAGCAGTAGTTGCAAATCGGCCTTTGAAGCGGAACCATCTGGTTGCTTCTGAGCTCAACCATCAGCAGAAGGACTCTGAACACTGGACGGCAACCAACGAAATGTCAATCGAAACAACGGCGGATTCTGTCGCACGATACAAGCAAAAACGATGGATTTCCTCAACCTCAGTGGCCTTGCCGAGCGCTCACAAAGCCATTCCCTCTGATTCAAAACACGACAAAGTGTGCAAATCCCTTAAACACCAGATCATTAAAAGTAAGAGAATTAACCGCGGGGAATGATTTGTAGGAAAGTGTAGAGAGGTGGAGAAGGCTGCGGCTATCGGTAATAGCCGCAATCTTTTTTGATTAATTAGGACTACGGGTCTAAGGAATGCAGGTGTAAGTGAGGTAATTAAAGAGTCCGACGGCACACTGATCCATATTCAGACTGGGTGTCGCATACAATGGCGCTCATGAATCCACTCATTATTCTCTTAATTTCACCCTATATGAATGGGCTATCCTCCGCTTGAATCTGCTCTCAACATTCTTATATTCATTCTGCTTTTTTATCCAAATGAGCAACCAAAACCGACGCACGAAAGTGCATGGTTAATGGTTGTAAGAACTGAACTGAATTCATCCATATTCAGCAACGTTGCCTTGACTGATAAGCAGAATATTCAACCTACCCCGCCTACACATGACTTCCAAATACCTGCTTCAACTGGACAGATACTACTCTTACATATCAGTCCTCCAAATCGGCATGCGCTTTGCACCTTCAAAGTGCAAAGTAATGCTACAGGACTGTCGTCTACCCCAGCACTGATGCTTGATGGTCAGGAATTAGCTGTAGTGGAATGTTTCACCTACTTAGGTAGCTGCGTTTCAAATGACGGTAGCATAGTCAATAAAGTAACCGCCCGCATTTCCAAGGCTCGAGCAGCTTACGCAGGATTGAAACATCTTTGGTGTAGACGCGATGTTTCGTTGAAACTGAAAGGTCGTGTATACTGCGCCAGTGTGCGGCCAGTTCTGCTCTATGGTTGCGAGACCCTAAATTTGCGCGTGGAAGATATTCGTCGTCTTGAAGTATTCGACTGCAGATGTTTATGTATTTTGACATGGGTTGGGTGGAGCGAGCTTGTAAACAATTCTGGGGTGAGGCGTCGCGTATTTGGTAATGATTTGATGGAGAGTTCGTTGTCCCATCGAATTCAGATTAATCGGCTTCGCTGGTTAAGACACGTATTGCGCATGCACAGAGCGATTAGGTAGAGTAGGTGTCTCTCGCTTTCCAGGTTGGGGTCCGAAAGACTGCAACTGGCTGGATGGAGACATTGAAGGATATGGCGACTAACCGACAGCAATGGTGCTCTTGTTGTCATTTCTTAACAAGGCAGAATGCTTGAAAAAAGGAATGCATGAACACTTAGATTGTGTGCTCTGTGTTGAACATAGGTTTTTTTCTTCGCCTCCCTCCAAGTAGGCCCACTCTCTCTCCATCGTGTGCTTTGTCACTTAATTTGTATACATTGTGAGCTTGGCAGCGATCAGGGAAGCTCGCTTCATTTTATCTCGCTGTACGATGATGATGATGATGATGATGATGATGAGTCTTCCAAATAAGTCCTCTGGCCCGGATCGGCTGCCCTATCGTCTTTTAAAGTTGAGAGGGTCAGTCTTGATTTGAAACTGAAAAAGAGCAGGTTTCCACTGAAGGGCGTGAATTTGTGACGATACCGATTTACAAGAAAGATGACAGACCCTCGTGAAAACTACAGAGGGATTAGTTTGAGTAATAGTACCTCTAAACTGGTCGTTGGTGTTATACTTTTTCGGTTGTTTGTCGCACGCGGACAGTGCTCACGTGAGAACCAGGCTGGTTTTAGGCCTGGTCGAGGTTGTATAAACCACATTCTCACTCCTCGCAAAACTTCGGAACACACTGCTTTTGTGGACCCACCATTTCTATCTTCCTCGATCTGAAAGCAGCTTTCGACTAAGCCGACCGCTCTAAACTCTGGCTCTGCCTCTCACTGAAGGGTGTGCCCAAGAAGTTTTTCTGAATATTACAATTTCTTGATACTAATAAATGAAGCCGAGTCCGAGCTTACGGCACCTTTTCGCTCAAGTTCACTACGGAAAGTGGTATTCGCCAGGGTTACCCTCTCCTCTTCTATTTGAATTTGTCATAGGTTTGAATATGGAATCAGCCTTGTCCTCAGACCGGAATAATGCCATCGATTTTCTCCGTCTCACGTAGAGTGTGCGGAGGACATTGTTTCGCTTTGTGAAGATCCAGGTAAGTTGCATGCTTTTCTGAATAGTTTAGGCGCTAGTATAACAATGTTCGGCAAGTGTAAAATGTTTCTGCGGGATTGCGTTGGCCCAGACCCAAACCCCACTAACTGGGGAAGTAGAAAAATTTGGCTATCTGGGCAGTCATATAGCTAATCCGAGTTGGAGAAAACCACATGGAGGTCAACAGATGACGTGGAGACGAGGCATGAAGAAATGCACAGCGCCATTAGGTTGGGGTCCGAAAGACTCCACAATTGGTTATATGTAGACATTGAAGGATCTGGCAGCGAACCGGCAGCAGTGGCGTTCTTGTTATCGTTTCTCATCAGGTCAGAATGCTTGGAACAGTATGTATGCAGAGTTCGACCGTGTGCTCTGTGTTGTTGTTGTGGGGTAGGCCATCGGAGCCCGGGGCTTTCCTTACGGATTTCCGCCTCAGAAAGTGAGGCTGTTAAAACAGACCATTTGATGTGTGCCGGAAGAGCTAAATGATAAGCTGACGCCGTTGGCCAGCTAAATTATGCTTTGAAGTGCTCCGCTCAGCGTTCAAGACGTCGCTGTTGATTGCAAATAAGCGGGCCGTCAGCTTCATAGGTCGTCTCGCTCACACCCAAGGCTTTCCTGCCGGTGATGAGATGAAACAGCTTACGGGAATTTCCCGCGGCGGCAGCACGTTCCATCTGTGATGCGCGTTGAGACCACCAGATCTCGTAATCTCTGCGTTAAGTTCACGTCTCATTACAAGCCGTGTTACGTTGTGCTCGTTGCCGGTCGGAAGTGACCGACGTGCGTCACGAAGGCGCAGGGACTTCGCAGAAATTCAGGGTGTCACGACACGGCGTGTCAGACAACAACTAACTAAGTCAGCAATATGGACAACATTCTTGATAGGCGACCAGTGCTTACCAGATGTAGATGGTTCTCAGTTCAGTTCAGTTGTTACAACCATTAACCATGCACTTTCGTGCACCGGTTTTGGTTGCCCATTTGGATAAAACAGCAGAATGATGATTAGAATGTTGCGAGCAGATTCAAGCGGAAAATAGCACATTCTCATAGACTGAAGTTACACTTTTTTCAACCGCTACCTGCCTCGGCAACCTATCTGGTGACATGCGTAACACGTCCCAACCAGCGTAATCTATGGAATTCGACTACCTGTTCCAGTGGGCGACCGCGATTACCTAACTCTACGCCTAACCTCAGCAGTGCTCGTCCGGTTTCCCACCCGACTCGTGCAATTCTACGTATATAGCGGTGTTCGAACACCAACATGGTGTACGGCACTCGCCGATGGAAAACAAAGCAGATCGACGCAACTACTGGAACGAAATAGCGATCAAGATGAAAACCGCAGGCAGTGCATGTCATTTTGGCGATCTCTTTCGCCCCACAAAATCAGCGTCCGGTAGAAGGCAATCTTTACCTGTTCTGCACGACTCCCGATATGGCGTCCCCATACGAAGTCGACTGTGAACCCCTAGCGATGGGAGAAATAGCTGCAGTGATCGGTCGCTTGAGGTCTGGTAAGGTCCTGGTGAAGACAGGATCCCGGCAGAAATACACAAGAAATGCCTTCCAGTGGTCATCAAACCGCTCCACTCCCTCTTTCGCTCTATTCGGGAGACCGAAACATGTTCAACCTCGGT